TTTTATAAGTAACACCATAACAACATCAAGACTGTAATAATTATATGCTTCTATATGTATTGTTTAAGACGATGTTGCATATTCTCTTGTTGGTGCCTTGAAGCGCTGACTGCTTGGAGCTGACTCATTATATACGGCCACTTTGGTAAACATCCTCTGCTTCCTCCGCCATTATCGTCCAGTTTATAAATCTAAAGTCTGTGATATACGCATTTGTGATGCTACAAATTCATAGTCAGATGCCTACTACACAGCAAGTAGATGAGTTTACAAAAGCAAAGCTAACAGTTAACAAATAGATTTTAATTTACATAAATATAAACAACAGCATTAATAATATAGGATAAAAATCCATGCAAACTGGTAAAAGATAAAATCCTCGACATGTTAGGACCGATGACGCGGAATTATCTGAACACGTACCAACATCAATTATCAAACGTTGATGGAGTGGATATTACCTCCGAAGAAAAAAATATCAGAGACCGTCAAATCTAAATTAAGTGATTGCCTCTGACGGGGTAAGTGGATCTTGCCCATACACATGTTACCTTAATTTTACACAGTTCGCCTGCCGCCCACTATACAACCTGTCTCTGCGAAACTTTCACTCCTACACCACGTATCCCAATCTGGCCTCTGCAGTTGAATTATTCACAGAGGACTTATACCGTGAGCACAAGGATCTACCATTCCGTCTACCTCCGCCACGGTCGACATCTCCATGGAACAAACTTAAAATTAAAGTTTTCTAAAATTGTTTTACTTTTTTTTATCCCATTGGCAGTAGTTTTACCTACTTTTTATTACTCACAAATTCTGTTTTCTTTTCTGTTCACTATCTTTTCAGATTGATATTTAATGACAGACAACAAAACCAAATCTTGCCAGAAACACTATGCGTATTAGTGGCTTTAGGTATTGTATGTACTAGCTCTATCTATAAATCCAACATTATGTTTGTATATCAACTATGTATGTACTTTTCCTGAATAAAAATTGATTTATTATTTATTATTGTGGATTTCCTACCTGACAACCCGTCCTCCTAAGGTTTCCCAACGTCAAGAAATTTTCATACTAAAGTGCCTTATCCTAACCTACCAGAGGACCCAAAGCAGAAAACGGGACAATATGTCAATTCCGCGAGCCATTTCCTAGTACGACCATTTTTGGCCTTAGATAAAGTATACATCAAAATGCGATGTTCTATTATGAGGATGGGTTAGGTTAGGAGCGGGCATTTTAGTACGAATTTCTTGTCGTTGAGAAACATTAGGAGAACGTCTCTTCTGGTGTTCACTTACTGCAAATCTCCCCTTCCTTAGCTGAGCCTGTGACATTCCATTATTCTCCTATATTTGTCCATTTGATGCATACGCTATTGTGATTTCTGTGTAAATTCTTCTATACCTTACTCCTTTTTGGGCAACTAATTGGCAACTATTATTTTACTCTTCAAGCCTAGTAATTTATGAAGTTAGTTATCATCTACAATTATTGTGTCTTCCAGTTATTCACCGGTATATTTAAGCATATGTTTTACGTACATACATAAGGCAACTGTAAATGCCTCAACCCCCCCCCCAACCCTTTACATAATTCAAATGCAAATAATTGTCAACAGAACCAAAATACCTAACCTACTATACGCTAAAATGTATATAGAATATATTGTAATATTCATTTATACACGAGGAAAACTTTTTTTTAATACACAGTATATTAAAGTCGATAATAAATTTTGAGGGGGGGGGGTTGACCGCCGCGTTAACGAGCCTAGCCTGTGGACGGGGTGGTTTAAAAAACATGTGTGGAAGTGATCCGTATCCTTCATAATATCATAAGAACATAAGAACAAAGGTAACTGCAGAAGACCTATTGGCCCATACGAGGCAGCTCCTATCTATAACCACCCAATCCCACTCATATACATAATATCCTACTTATATATCTTGGCAAATCATGATCCTCAAAATCTTCCACAGTATCCAAAAGAGAGGACAGCCTATTTAGCACGAGTTTATACAAACATATGAATACTACTGAACCCGGATGCAAACAATACGAAAACAATGTCCCTCAGAGACATTACAAACATTACCTCATTGTTGTAATGAGGAACAGATGTATTAAGCATTGTACGTGGAGGTAGACTCTATACTTACGTGAGCATCCCCCAAATGCTCAGAGATATATAAATAAGATCAACTTTACCTAGAAGAGAGCGACATGTCTCACGCCGCTGCTTCCTGACGACTGTCAGCATCTTGGTCATTGAGCCGTAAGCGACCAACCAACCCAAAGACCCTCTGCCTAAAATTGTTTGAACGCTTATTGAAATTTCTAACGTATAGCTCCAAGAGTGTGTAAATTAATATTTATATGCATTATAGGTCTTTCCAGAGTAATTTATGGATATGAATATCATATATATTGTCTAATAAACGAATTATTTAAGTTAATAATTTAATCTAGGTTGCCTAGCTTTTTGAATCATGCATGTTAAATGAGGTCTTTTTTATTATGGTGATCCGTTAATTTGTTGGTACTATTTTTTAAATTATGACAAATTATAATTGGAAATGGCATGTAAAAATAGGATAAAATGTATATATCCAATTTTGCTTCAAAATTAACTCATTTTATAACGGAATTCAAGTTCAAGTTCAAGTATGTTTATTGAGATAAGAAAGAAATATTAATACATCTCAAAGGGATAGAGTAGCTTAGGCTATTTCTTCCCCCTCTACTTCAAGTCCCTCAAGGGGCGCACAAATTCAGCGAGTACAAATAGACAAATAACATTACAAGAACATTGCAGAACTCCAGTTACCTAATCCTTATCACAAACTATATAAAAGCGTATCATAAGCTACGGGATTTGTAGGTCAGTATTTAAAAGGGAATTCGGAGGTAATAATGATACAGCTGATGCCATCTGTCGGCAAAAGAGGACACTATTAACTGGCTGGTCAATAGTAGCCATAAGGTACAGCTTACGCCATCTGTTGACATCAAATTACACCTATAACAAATTACCCCACAAAATACCACTAACGCCATCTCTGTTTTTTCCAACGCACTATAAATAGCCAAACAGCAACCCATAAGGCGGGTTGTTGTGCTCGGGTAGGAGGTTCCAAGCTCCGCCCACAGATGGTATGGGGTGCATAATCAATGGCATATCATTGGTAGAAACTCTTTGTTGACATTCACACAACAGCCAATCACAGGAAGGGATCAGCTAAAGGTGCCATCCACTTAATAAATCATCTTAGTTCAGCCCACCAGTCATGCTTATGGAATTCTGCTTTAACTTTAATTTACCCAAAAAAGTGAAGTGTTAATTATTTAAAGTGTTAATAAAGTGATAATTAAATACTACAGGATATAACAAATGCTATATAAAAATGGGCTGGCTACCTAACTTGAGACGTTATTATTGGGGGTTGCCTTGACACAAATAATGATACGCTGCTCTGCCCTCTTATTCGAGTAAATTATTCAGTTAGATGGAGATTTCTGTCAGGTGCAAAACAGAAATTGTTTTTCTTTCTCACAGCAACCTTGTTGTTGCGCACAAGGACCTATTTCTTAGTTAAAATTTTATTCATAAAAGAGTGTTGGTATTCCCCGCAACAGCCAATCACAGGAAGGTATTTCAGGAAGCTTGGCCTCCTTATGGACTCAGCACATCACCCAACTTAATAAAACATCTTTATTCATAACACCAGCCTTGCTTATGACATTCTGCTTCAACTTTAATCTACCTAAAATATGGTGTTAATTATTTAAAAGTATTAATAAAGTGATAATTAATTAAATATTGCAGGATGTAACAGGTGTTACAGAAAAATGGCCTGGCTACCTAACTTGTGACGTCACAGTGGGTACGTGTTGCCTCACACAAATAACATTGATGATACCATTGATTTTTAATTTGAATTTGAATACAATGCTCCGCCCTCTTATTGGACTACATTATTCAGTTAGATGGAAATTTCTGTCAGGAACAAAACAAAGAGATTCATGGGCAAAAGGAAGTATTTCTTAGCTTGAATTTAATTCATAGAGAGTGTTGGCATTCCTTGCAACAGCCAATCACTGGGAGGTATTTGCTAAAGCCCCGCCTCATCAGGAGCGTTTAGTACACCGATCTAGCTTATGACTTTGTTTCATCTCTTATATATACAAAATATAAATTATAATATCTTCTGATATGGGTGTTGACTTCTTTATTCGTTCACCTGTTGTTTTATTAATACTGGAATAGAGTAGCCATGGGTTTTATATTTTTAATACAAAAAAATGAATTATTATAATGTTTCGATTATTTCTGAGTGGGCCCAGAAATTTATTCCCCCTAAATAAATAAACGTTATCATTATGATTTATTATTTTTTTTTTTAATTTGCATTCCCCGTGGGGAAACGGTAACACACTCGACTGGCGTTTCGCGAGCGCTTTAGGCCTGGGTTTGTATCCTGGCCGGGGAGGATTGACTGGGCGCCAATCCTTGATTGTAGCCTCTGTTCACCTAGCAGTGAATGGGTACCTTTGTTAAACGATTTAGCGGGTCGTATTCCGGGGAAAGTTAGGATTAAGGGCCTGCCCGAAACAAATGCGCGCTATTGGCTGTACAAGAATGTAAAAACACTTATATATATAAATAAAAATAAATTCAGGCACCCACTCATCAGACATGTGGAGACTGACTTCTGACTTTGTTACTTTATGTCCATCACATTACTTAACTTCATTTAAAAATCATATTCCTGGTAAATTGAAGATTTTAACTATTAATAGTATTATATTGTGCTCGTATCCGTTCTTCGGTGCTGTAGCTGCCCCTGACCCTTCACCAATAACAACAACATCTCTGGTAAACCTTCGCCAAAAGTTTTTTTTGTTTTAACTTAGTTTAGTTTATTTATAATGCCCTCCACACCCATTCTGTAAAATGTAATTTCAAAGATTACAGAGGCGTATAATGGGCTCTGGAACCGAGCCTCATGTTTAGCTAAGCAAGTTACAGCTTTAGTAAACCAGTTACAGAGTTTGTCAGTATACAGTACATGAGGCTGGTGGAGGCACTTATGTTTGCTGCCTTCATGGCTTTCTTTTCCGTTTTGACCCCGGCTGATACTCGATCCTTTTGATAATATTATCCCACCCCCTTTTTGGGCGTACTTCAAGTATGTTTATTGAGACAAGAAAGAATTACATCTCAAAGGGATAGAGTAGCTTAGGCTATTTCTACCCCCCTCCCCCCCCTGGACGTTCTTTGGCTTCCCACACTTGTGTATTTACATATACTATGTAATATACTATATACTGCTCTCTTGTTACACTTTAACTAATTAATTTTTAAGTTTTATATGTTTCAGGTGACAAATGCATAGATGGCAATGGGTTCAACACGCACTATAATCACAACTGCAGTAATTACTGCTGGAATTGCTTTACTTGCTTTATTATATCAAACTGTTTTTAAACGGCATCCTCAGATCAGCATGAGGCCCCGCAAGTAAGATATCTTTTATTTAAGTTTCTTTTGACTATATGCTTATTTTCAGGCAATAGCCCATTTTGTCAAATAAGGATGAGGTATAATGTAAATATACCTTAATTATGCTATATATATATGGATGAATGGTTGGTTACTGCAAAGGTAAAGCTGCCCACTTCTCAGTGCATAACATTGGAGGAGGAGGAAATTAGTGAATTACTGTATAATTAAAGATTGTCATTTCTTGAATTATCATAGATTATGTCATAGAATTATCTAATCAGGAAAAACATTCCAATGCCAAAAAAACTGCAGCATTTAGAAACAGATTGTGTAAAATCAACATGAATGAAGATGTATTATACTAATAGGATGATATAAAGTATATACCTGAGATGTGTGATTGACAAATTAGGAATTTGTGTATGTGTGATATTAAGAATAGTTAGGTAAAAAAAAAAAAACAGCAAGATAAAGCCATGAACAGAGTAAGACAGGAATGAGAGGATGCACCTAGAGGGCTGCATGAAGAAGTGTTCCAACTAATGTACAGTATCTGATTTTAAGCCACACTAAATATTTGGTTCCACTTTGTAACCTAATTACAGTATTTGTGCTGTATTATGTGTAAAGGTTATTAAGCAAATGGAAATGCTTTTTAAAAGTAATAATTTATAATATTAGCTTTGATGTGTCCAGAAACAGGAATGAAGTGAAAGATATGAAATGGGAGTGTGCTGGCAGAGTAGTGAAGATTATGATATACCCAGTGAAGTCGTGTAGTGGAATAGTTGTCGGCTCAGCTAAGACAAAATTGGTTGGCTTAGTGGATGGAGAAACTACTGACAGGTTGGTAACTTTAATGTATATAAGACTATTCAAAGTAATTAGATTATTAGAATGTAGTTTCCTCACAGTGAGGCAAGTTGCATTAATAATTATTGTACTGAAAACTAGAGTATAGGTAGACATTTTAAATACCTGTACCAGTATACAGTATTGCATATATTTTCTAATGTTAACTGATACAAATGTATATCAATGTATAGTATATTTTGGTTACTTTGTTCCTTATAGGATGATATCTTACCTGTGGTCACATGCACGGTCTTGCACAGACATTTAAATTACCTGTAAGTACATTATTAAATACCTTGAAGGAGCTCTTGAAGCACATGCCAATTCCACAACTTGATTAGTGTAATCTGTCATGGGTCCTACAGTTACTATTGTCATTATTTTGCTTCTTGTACCATATAAAGAGTTACAAGAACTTTTAGTTCAGTATTTACATTAATTTTGTATGCACTTCTGTAGTATTAGTTTTATCTTTTCAGATCTTTCATAATTTGTAACAACAAAGGAACGATGATCACTGCACGCATGATTCCATCTATAGTGCTGATACGTCCAGTTGTTGAAGACAACACTTTGACTCTTAAGTTCCCAGGCATTGAAGACTTGAAAGTTAACATCTCTGAAGTAAAAGAGAACAATAAGATAATGGCAGTGAAGTAAGTTATGTGCTGTAACCATCTTTCTCCTGTATTTACCTATTGAACTAAAGGTTAATCTTTATCTTATTCTCTACCTCTTTCCTGAGATGTATATATTTATCCAAGGCCTTTGCATATTTTCAGACTACAGTAGATACTCCATCTTATATACTACAGTATTTCACTCTCAAGTTCATTCACCTATTTGAAGAAAGTTGTTCACCCTTATGTAATGTCTGTTGTAGGTTCGTTCCCTCATAGATGTGCTCTCCAACCCATTTCCTTCTTTCAGCTCCCAGATGTAGTAATGGTAAGCTCCCAATATGTAATGGTTGCTAGCTTCCAGTGATGGTGTGTCACCTCCTCTTGCCCTTGTTTGCATTATGTTAAATTTTAGGAAGAACTGGACTTGTTTCTAGTGTATACAAAATTTTCAGTAAATGTGTCTTTCCATATATTAGAATACTTTGTTCTCTTGTCAGTTTTTATCTGATTAAAATCACTAAAAACTAGGTGCTTTGCCCTCATTTCACTTACCACTGATGCTGCTCTCTCTATGATCTTCAAACATTTTGTTGTTGCTCTCATATAGTCTTCCCTTGGCCTCTTACAGTTTGGTAGGGGTTGTGTATGACTGCCTTCGCTGATCTCGAATGCTTCTGATGAAGTCCTGTGAGTTTGCCACTTCTGACACAATTATTACCTCAAAACTTATTATATTACATAAATATCATCAGTGACCCTCTTCCAATCATCGGTTGTTAGTGCCTCAGAATTATTGTATTTCCTATCATATTTGTGAATTTCATTCCATTATTGCAATTATGTGCAGCTGCAGTTAATGTTTTGAAAAGTAGTTAAGCTAGTTTGAGCTTCCTTCTGAGTATCTGTTATCCTGGTCAGATTTATTATTATTTATTATGTTCCAGGAGGATCCCAGGTACCCCACAAGGGTAGTGATACCCTTGTACTGTACATAACAACACTGACCATGTACTGGATATAATATTCAGTACATGGTCATCATTTCTAAGGAGAGGAAAAGTTTCTATAACATTAACATCTCTCATCCTTGGTGACGGCAGATATACTGGATATAATATCCAGTGCATGGTCAGTGTTGCCTAGGTATCATATGTGTTCTCTCGAACTTTGATGAGCCATGAAATAGATGGTGCTATGAAAGCAGCATCATAACATGGTCAGAAAGAAGCTTATCATATGCTCAAAGTATATTTTTGTAATGATATATTAATATGAACAAAATTTATTTGTAGAGTTTGGAGCGAGGAAACCTCAGGCTTAGACTGTGGTGACGGTCCATCCAACTGGCTTCAGATGATATTAGGACGTAAATGTCATCTCTTGTACCATGCAGATCTGCCGTCACCAAGGATGAGAGATGTTAATGATATAAAAACTTTTCCTCTCCTTAGGACTGATGATCATGTAAGTTTAATAGCAATTGTTTTATGGAAACAATCAATTATCTTTGTAGCTACTGTTCCTTTAATTAGGAAAGCAAATCTGTTGAATACATTGGAGTACAGGATTACACAAGTTCTGGCTTTTGCTAATTTATTTAGTTATCAATTAAGTTCTTCAATAATAATCTTGCTTATGTTTACAGTTGTAGATAATGTAATGTAAAGGCCCATGATAAAAGATTTTAAGTTGTTATTATTATCTTTTTTTTACATTGCTAGTGTTATTTTAGCTTGCAGGCCTTAATATTATTATTATTATAATTATTATTATTTGTTTTTCATTATTATCAATATTATTATAATTTTTTATTTAATTAGTTTTAGTGTTTTTAATATTTTTTATTGTTATTGTTAGTTATTTGTAATTAATTTCTTATTTACAGTATTTTTGTTTAAATTGTTATTTATTATTTTAATTGTTGTTATTTACTACTACTGTACTGTACAATTATTACATTATCAGTGAATAAACAGTACTGTAAATATTTTTTAATTGCAGGTTCTCTCAACTTAAATATTCCTCTAAAATAATTGCTGTGTTTACTGTAATGTCTTTTTGGCAACATACCAAGAGTAGTGCTCTTGTAACTAACTTCTATTTTCAGTCCTTGTATGCTGATGAAGCTGGGTTCTTGCTCATGACCGAGGAGAGTGTTGCTGATCTTCAAGGGAGGGTGCAGTGTCAAATTGCTGCCGAGAATTTTCGACCTAATATATTGGTTAATAAAATCAGGGAACCTTATGACGAAGATGGGTGGGAGTATGTAAAAATTGGAGAGGCTGTTTTCAGACATGTCAGCCCATGTATGAGGTAGAGTATTGTATGTGTTATTAGTCTAATTTAGACTTTCTCATTACAGTGCCACTGTGCTCAGAATCACAGGCTGTTAAATGGTGGCTTTGTTCCTCATTAAGGCCACTTGAGATATGGTGGCTCTCAGGTGAATTCATATAAATAATGTACATTTTATAATGTAATGTACCTGAATGTGTGTTTTTATACAGTCAGTAACCATTGGGTAATTACAAGTACATACTGTAAATGAATGAAATGCATGAATATTTAAGCATTTAATTGTTGCTTAAATATTCATGCATTTCATATATACCTGAAAGAAAAAATGAAGTAGAAAAGCCAGTATTGTTTAAGAGTAATTTAAAATTCAAGCATTGCATTATTTACCTGAATAAAGTAAGTACAGTACTGTAATTATCAAAAGACGGCACCAGGCTGGGACAACTATGTTTGAATTTACCTGAATATACGTGAATTTATCCGAGGATGATGAGGACAGGAAGCCAGTGGCTTGTCCAAGGTCCCTTATTGTGCCTGAGCATTTTTCCAACTGGGTTTTGAACTGAGGTACTGTCTTGGCAGTTATGGCTTTGGCATATAGGTGGTTCCAAGGGTTTATAGCTCTGGATGAAAAAGCATCTTCTGTTTTTTCTCCTACACTGGCTTGCTTAGCCCTGTTAGGCCTGGTTTGCAGTGTTGTTAGTCATGGGCCCCCAATTGTTCCTTGTTTGAGAGTTCTTTCTGGGGTGATTTTGTCACTGTGTTATGTAGCTTTTGCATAGTGGATCCACACTTGAACAGAATAATTAGGACTTCATCAGTTCCACCAGGGATTCTGATACAGTATATCAAGGATTTTAAAATTTTTGCTGTTGATGCCTAGCATTAGTTTTTATTGCAAATAATGGAACACATTTTTGTATATACATATATACAGTATAACCAAATAATATACAAATACAGCTAAAGCATTTTAAATATAATGGAAGGTAAAACAGTAGAATAAAGGAGTTTAGCAACAAAAGATAAAAAAAACTTGAAGATGGATTGCATAATTTTTGTTTCCCTGTGTTGACAGAATGTAGGTATACAGTACTGAATACAATACAATACATAACTAAAACTGCAAAACTCCTATACTGTGTTGCTATGTAAACCACTTATAAGCAGCCTCATTTAATTACAGTACTTGCATTTTTTATTTTTTAAGCATTCCTGTTTACAAATTAAATTTGTAAATACTGTACTCTATTAGAGTAAAGAAATTAAGAACTGCTTTCTGAATTTATATACTGTATATGTATCTTTTCTCAGGTGCATCTTTACCACAATCAACCATGAAACAGGCAAGAAGGATCCCAACCAGGAGCCACTAAAAACACTTAAAACGTTAAGTGTGAAAATATTTTGTTGTACTATGGGTTGTGATATTAATTCCATGTCTGGGGTGGTGGCTCCTTTGGTAGCCACACTAGGAATTCCTTATGGTTTTGTTGTGTTAATAGAAGATGTAATATTAGTGTGAAATATGCAAGGGTCTGGTTGATACCTGTTGTGTTTAGTGTTTAGATACCTAAATGTGCTTGCCCTTGCTGTGTTATGCTTATTCAGGTTCATATTAACATACTGTACTGCACTACTCTACTCTTTGACAAAGATAACACAATGTAACAATTTTTGTTCCTGGGTGGTGGTTTTTTGATTGCTTATGCCTTCAAAGTACTACAGGTATATAAAATATAGCTTTTATTCCCTTTAAACCTTGCTTTGATCTTTGCCTGGTACAGATTGGGAAAAATGTCTTGAAGGTACTGAACTTGAATGCTACCAAATCCTAATCAAGAGCTGTGACACATTTTCATAAGTCAGTAGCCTTCAGATAACTTCAAGACATCTTCCCTAAGCTGTCTTAGGCAAAGGCCAAAGCAAATGTTGAAGGAATAATAGCCATTTTCTATACTTTGGAGGAATAAGCGCTCAGAAAATAAGACTTACAACCCAGAAACAAACATTGTTACACAGTGTATAACTTAATATGCATAATGGAATATTTTTACTTTCCCTATTTAATGATCTTATATTTTATTATTTTCAAACAGATATCGTTGCATTGGAGGAAGTAAAGATCCACATTTTGGCATATATCTTGGATTGGACCTACCTGGAGTTATCAGTGAAGGAGATGAGGTTTTTGTGACAAGAGCTGTGAAAACCACATGTTCCTAAGCATTTAAATTTAATTACACCAGCTGTGCAAGGTAATTTTGTAATTTTTAAGAATGATGGAATGAGGCACTTAAGTTGTCATGAATCACTCTTATTAGTCAATCGTTAAACTAGTTTATCTTCTAGAATCTTGATTATTCCTTTTCTCCTAAAACCTTTCTGTAAAATAAATTTTTGCAATTTAACACATCATGTTCACACATATCGTAGCTTTAACATGGATTATCAATATTTATGGAATTGTATAAAGAAATAGGAAGAATAAGAGTACCTGTATTATTTTTAATTTGTACAAAATTTTTATTTATCTTAAGTTTTACACAAAAACGAACATAAAAGTTGGTGAAGAGTTCAGAAAAAGCGTTGCTGGTGCCTACACCTCAGTCTAAGTAAATCACATCAAATTTTAGCCAACAAAAAATATAAAAAAGAAAGATGGTCTAGTTAATAATAATATAAAATTACATTGATTATCTGTTTTTTTTAATTTACTACAAAAATCTTTCAAGTTTATGAAAAGAAGCTGAGGAGCTGGCCTTGGTCATGAGGAAGCATTTTGTAGAACGCAGCGACATAAGTTACTGCTACATTTCCTCACACCTCATTTTTTTTTTCTTAATACTGAACTCATTGTTCAGAGTCTGCTTTATGTATACTTGAGAAATTAAATAAATATTGTAGTACATAAAAGTCTTATTAACCTTTAATGCATATTCACTTATGTCGGTGTTTTACCAAAGTACAGTATATATATATATACATATATACATATATGTACAGTATATAAAATTAAGAACACAAATCAAGGTCTGCTTACCTTTTTGCAGAGTCCAGGAGGGTAATTATTGAGGCGTTGAGGTTTGCACACCAGAACCCAGCTGCAGTGTATATTGAAATTATTTCATTTCCTGGTGGTTATGGGGAGAGGGTAGCATCATACCATAATGTTCACTCTCTGCCGGACAATACTAAGAGTGTTAGGAGGGCAGGCTACATGTTATCACACTATGCATAAATTATTTGTTGGATATATTTTCCTAGTGATGGCTTAAGTTAATGGCTCTGCTGAGCTTCTGTCATCAGGTACGATACCATGTACCACCAGTTGTAACACTGCACTACCTAGTGGAACACAATTAATGTAATTACACTTAGGAAATTACACTGCACCACCTGGTGGAACACATTGCACCATCTAGTGGAACATGTTGCACCGCCTTATGGAACACACTGCACTACCTAGTGGAACACACCGCACCACCTGGTGGAACACTACACTTGGTGGAACACTGCAGCACCTCAGTGAAGGGGGAATACTGGTATCAGATCAAGTGAAAGCTGCATTAGTATTAAGGTTGTGCCACACGGCAGTGGTGCACCTGCTCGTCCACCTGGTCAGGGCCGTGCCCCTACACCACGTGCACCACCTTACCTGTGGCGCTCTCCTCTCTCATGGTTTAGGCTACTCTCTAGTCTTCATTTGTGGTAATCAAGCTGGTGCTGGGTTGCTAACCCATTATGGTAATCAAGTTGGTGTTAGGCTACTAAGCCAGTACAGTAATCAAGCTGGTGCTGGGTTGCTAACCCATTATGGTAATCAAGTTGGTGTTAGGTTACTAAGCCAGTACAGTAATCAAGCTGGTGCTGGGTTGCTAACCCATTATGGTAATCAAGTTGGTGTTAGGTTACTAAGCCAGTACAGTAATCAAGCTGGTGCTAGGCTACTAAGCCAGTACAGTAATCAAGGTGGTGCTAGGCTTCTAAGCCAGTACAGTAATCAAGGTGGTGCTAGGCTTCTAAGCCAGTAGAGTAATCAAGGTGGTGCTAGGCTACTAAGCCAGTACAGTAATCAAGCTGGTGCTGGGTTGCTAACCCATTATGGTAATCAAGTTTGTGTTAGGCTCCTAAGCCAGAACAGTAATCAAGGTGGTGCTAGGCTACCAAGCCAGAACAGTAATCAAGCAGGTGTTAGGCTACTAAGCCAGTACAGTAATCAAGCTGGTACTAGGCTACCAAGCCAGAACAGTAATCAAGCAGGTGTTAGGCTACTAAGCCAGTACAGTAATCAAGCTGGTGCTAGGCTACCAAGCCAGAACAGTAATCAAGCAGGTGTTAGGCTACTAAGCCAGTACAGTAATCAAGCTGGTGCTAGGCTACCAAGCCAGAACAGTAATCAAGCAGGTGTTAGGCTACTAAGCCAGTACAGTAATCAAGCTGGTGCTAGGCTACCAAGCCAGAACAGTAATCAAGCAGGTGTTAGGCTACTAAGCCAGTACAGTAATCAAGCTGGTACTAGGCTACCAAGCCAGAACAGTAATCAAGCAGGTGTTAGGCTACTAAGCCAGTACAGTAATCAAGGTGGTGCTAGGCTACCAAGCCAGTACAGTAATCAAGCTGGTACTAGGCTACTAAGCCAGTACAGTAATCAAGCTGGTACTAGGCTACCAAGCCAGTACAGTAATCAAGCTGGTACTAGGCTACCAAGCCAGTACAGTAATCAAGCTGGTACTAGGCTACCAAGCCAGTACAGTAATCAAGCTGGTACTAGGCTACCAAGCCAGAACAGTAATCAAGCTGGTGCTAGGCTACTAAGCCAGTACAGTAATCAAGCTGGTACTAGGCTACCAAGCCAGTACAGTAATCAATCTGATGTGTTGGGCTATTAACACAGTGCAATACTCAGTTCAGACAATGAAGGTTTGGTCATAAAACATTGTCCTCATAATAATTATACTCGCCTGTTGTGTGCATTGTGGTCAAGGTTAATTAATAACTTACGTATAATACAGCTGCAGTTTGCTCAAGGATTGTATAACTTATAAAGTATAATATTCGCTATATATTATACATACAGGCTTCCTGTCCCCCGACAAAACGAATTATTTTTAAAGTACTTCCATGGTGCCAAATTAGGTGTTCATATATCACCACGAAACATTGGATATACATATATTATACAAATACAAATATTTATTCAGGTTAAGTACATATATACAAGGTAAGATACAAAAAGTTGATGGATAATTGATGGTATAGTATATAGTTGATGGTATAACTTATTAAACAAAAAACGTCGCCACAAATTTATGACGACCAAATAGCCACTGTCAAGAAGGAAGCGTCTCTGGGATATAGAATTTATATAGGTCAAGGTGAACAATAGGTAATCATAGCAACCGTCCAAATACTCCTCTCTTGATCTTTATCCAGCAAACTGTGGCACTAGATGCGAGCCTCGTCTGTAAGGCTGCAGATTCACTTGATGAACCATTACGGGCTATTCATACCCGTGCTTAAACTTTATCATCAATATGATGAACCAGTCCCACGACAACTTGCCTGTGAGCGTGTCTGGCATTGATGATGAATAATACATACACGCATGGTTCATTCACTCGCCCAGTTGTGCTTGCGAGGGTTGAGCTTCGGCTCTTTAGTCCCGCCTCACAACTGATGTAGAGATTCGTGAGTCCATTGGCCTATATCATATCTACATTTAAGACATGTTGGAGTCGCTGTACAGTGTGAGTATCGCCGCCCACGTATCTTGGAAGGCAATAACCACTAGGGGGCCTGACGGCCGAGTGGACAGCTCTCGGGTTTCGTAGTCCTAAGGTTCCAAACTATCCCCGGCGGAGGCGGAAACAAATGGGTAGAGTTTCTTTAACCCTGATGCCTCTGTTCACCATAGCAGTAAATGGGTACCTGGGAATTAGACAGCTGCTACAGGCTGCTTCCTGGGGATGTGTAACAAAAAGGAGGCCAAACCTGGGCTACAAATAGCGAATTGGGCTACTTTTGAGAGCCCCGCGCTCCCAAATTTTTAATTTCGCTACTTGCTACTTTTTGGGCTAATTTAAAAGCAAGTTGGGAGAGAGAGAGAGAGATGCCTGAATTTGCCCGAGGGCCACCCTCGAGTAAATTTAGGGAAACCATGGAACTACCTTCCCGACGAAGCCATAAATGATAAAACATTGCTCGATAAAATCCCCAAGGCAAAAAGGGGACATTTGACAAGCCGCCGGGTTCCTATCCTCACTGAGAGATAGTGACCCTCTGGTAAATTCAGGTAAATCTTAGCTAATAAAATAATCCTGAAAAGTTTGCTTAACAAAGGCAGGACTGTGTTAACAGCAGTATATTCTCTGAGCAAAGCAATGGTAAAGCCCGCGCCCGGCTCTTCGTCAGAGCTTTGACCTGGGTTCAATCCTTAACTGTTTACCCAGCAGAGAAACGATTGTTAAACGATTTGGCGGGTCGTACCTCCCAACGGACTATTCGGGGGAAAAATTGGATTAAGGACCTGCCCGAAATGCTATACATGCTAGTGGCTTTACAAGAATTTAATAACTATCTATATATAAATAAATAAAAAAATCCGCTTACTAATCTTCTTGTGTGTGCGATGAGACGTGTATCTGGCATAATTAAAATATTACCCTAAATACTTCGTTTCTTAGACAATATATGATATTCAGATCTATAAATTACTTTAGAAAGGCCTATAATGAATATAAATATTAATTTACACACTCCTGGTGTTATACACTAGGAATTTCAATATGACGTTAAATAATTTTAGGCAGAGGGTCTCTGGATTGGTTGGTCGCTACGGGTCACCGACGCCGACCCCGCCAGTCGTCAGGAAGCAGCGGCGGCGTGAATATGTCGCTCCCGTGTAGGTAAGGCTGATAATTTTTTTTCCTAATACATCTGAGAAGTTGGGTGGTACGCAAGAACATATAGTCTACCTCCACTTACAATGCTTAACGCATTATACATTTGTTCACTATTATAACAATGAGTTTTTGTAATGTCTCCGAGAGTCATTATTTCCGTATTTTTTTTAATCCGGGTTCTGTAGTTTTCAAATGTTTGTATTACACTAAATAGTCTATCCTCTCTCGGATATTGTGGGTGATTTTGAGAATCATGATTTGCCAATATTATATGAGTAGGATATTATGTAGAATACACTTCCCCAGTGTTAAACCACCTAGTCGTCAGACATAGGCTCGTTAACGCGGCGGTCGACCCCTGCCTCCACCTCCCAAGACGCATTTATTATCGACTTTCATGTACTGTGTATTAAAAATAGTTTTTATCGTGTATAAATTAAATTTACCTGAGGGCCACTAACACTAGTGGCCTCGATGAGGAGAGTAAGCCGGCGGCTTGTCAAAGGTCCCCCCATTTGCCCTGATGATCTTATCCAGCTGTATTTTAAAACCCAGCAGAGTTTTGGCGTTTACGGCTTCGGCGGGTAGGCGGTTCCACGGGTTTACAACCCTATGGGTGATAAAGTGTCTCCTGTTTTCTGTGGTTGGAAGAAAACGCGCTCAGAGTGGGGACTTGTATATTTTATATTAATAAATAATAAAATAATAATAAATAATAAAATAATAATAAATAATAAAATAATAAAATAATAATAAATAATAAATTAATAATAATAATAAATTAATTATAATAAATAATAAATTAATAATAATAAATGAATAATAATAATAAATTAATAATAAATAATAAGTTAATAATAATAAATAATAAATGAATAATAATAAATAATAAATTATTATTATATAATAATATGATAATAATAATAAATAGTATAATAAGCAATAATTTTAATGAATCAAATAGCTAATTAGGATGAATGATTAGTGATTAATGCATAACAATAAA